GGTGGCTCTCATTCAATAAATGGAGCTGCAGGAGGTGCGGGTGTGGTTGTATCATATGGGCATAGTTGCTGTCTCCCACTCAGTTAGACAAAAACAGAAATCAAAAAACCATCAAAAAGGTAAAGTCAAGAGGACAGAAAACACACACTGTATAAACACACAGGAACATTCACCAAAAAGAGAAAAAAGGAAAAAGAAGAAAAAGAAAGGCAATAAATAAGAGAAAATATTTAAAGAAATATTTTAAAAAGCCAAAAGAAATATGCATAGAAAAAAGGGTGAGGGGAACCCTGCATTATCTGGAGAGAGGGGAATAAGAGAAAAGAGGTAGAGTAGGAGAATAATGAAGAAAATAATTGGAAAAATGCAAAAAGATAAACAAGGAATGGGGAGAACCACAAGAAAGAAAAAGATGGAAACAGAAACAGGGAAGGGAGAAAAAGCTGAAAACTAGAAACTGGGAAGGGAAAAAGGAATAATAATAATAATAAGGATGAAATAATAATAATAATTTTCAAACAGACAAAAACAAGCAAAGTAAAAAAAAGCGGGGGTGGAATCTAGGCAGGGTGGGGCAAGGTACCCAGGCTCTGTCAGAGCACACAGACTGGGATGGAATTCCTGCCAACCCAGAAGGTGGGTGGGAGTGAGAGAAGCTGGCACATCCGTTCACCAAGAGGGTATGGGGTATAAGAGTAACAAGGACAATATAGCATCTTTCTAGTCCTTTGTGTCAGGTGTGTCCTTGTGGTCCCTGGCAAGTGGAGCCTATTCTTAGGTGCCTGAAATCTGACAGAATGCTGTCACTTTAAATGTCCAAATTGGTCTAACTGCTTGTAAATATTCAAAATGGCCATGCCCTCCTGTTCTGGTTACTTAGTGCCACTCTGACAAGAGTATACCACAAATGGGATGGCTTTAACAAACAGGTGTTTATCCTCTCACAGTTTTAGAGGCTAGAAGTCTGAGTTCAAAGTGCCAGGGTCTGGGGGCTGTGTGAAAGCCCCTTGACCTTGGGCTTCAGCTCTGCCTCTTTTTCCTGGCCCACTAAAGCTAGAGACATCTTTTCACTCAGGCAGCTGCTGGTTGCTGAGGCTGACAAACCCAAGGTCAACAAATAAAATGACACAGTCCTGATGCTACCAAACCACATGGCAGGCCATTAATTCAAATTCATTGTAAGTCCCAAGATTGGCAAAACATGGTAAGCTGCTGAACAATGACACAGCTACATGCAGGGTCTAAGCGTGCCATAAA